TTAATCACAAATTCACTACATGCTTGATTAAATTCAAACAGTACCAAAAACTGTTCTGTTTTGCTTTGTTTTCGGAACCGGGAATTGAACTCAGGTCCTTGTGTTTGCCAGGCTATTTCTTATTCTACTGAGCCATCTCCCAGACCCCAAATTTCCAAGTGTTTTTTTTTTTTTTTTTTCCCCTGTTGGTACAGGGATTGAACTCAGGACCTTGTGCTTGCCAGGCAAGTGCTTACCAAAAACTTAAAACATTGATAATCTGATATCCCTCTTCTAATCTCAATCCCCAGAGGTTACCACATTTATCCATATACATTTAAATATATACACATATGCACATATCATTTAAAAATTTTATTTACAAAAAGATGTTATGCCATAGGGATACAATGCTCTAAAATTCACTTACTGAAATTGCAGGGGTTTTTCACGCTTGAATGTTACAGGTCTACTTTAGAAATGCAAAATGAGGGATTGGGGAGATAGTTCAGTGACACAAGTGTCTGCCTAGCAAGCGCAGAATCCTGAGTTCAATCCCCGGTACAGGGGAAAAGAAAAAAAAGAAATTCAAAATGACAATTTGATATTAGGTAATATTGAATATTTGTAGTCTGAGCACAATTCTATATACTTTATAATTTAATTATTGCAATAAACTCTCTGAATTATTTTCAATTACAGTTAAGAGAACTGAGGCCCAGCGAAATTAAGTAAGCATAGGTCATATAGCTACTAAATGACAGATTTAGAATTCTAAGCAAGTAACCTAACACCAGAGGCCTACATCTTAAAAGTACCTGCTCCTCAGTATTCCACATTATTAAAATGTTAAAATGTATTTATTTCTCTACTGATGAACACTGGCTTCAATTTTTTACCATATAAACAATGCTATAGGGCTAGTGAGATGGCTCAGTGGTCTAAAGCACCTACTTAGAACAAACTAAGCTGAGCAAAGCACAGGGACCGCGGTTCAATCCCCCAGCACCACATGCCAGCCATTCCCGCCCCCTGGTGGGCTGAGCTGGCCACACACACACACAAAATAAATAAATAATTTTTTAAAAAAATGCTATAGGGGATGGGGAGATAGCTCAGTGAAATAAGTGCTTTCCTGGCAAGCGCAAGGTCCTCAGTTCAATCCCTGGTACTGAAAAAAAACAAACAAACAACAAAAAAAAAAACACAATGCTATAGTAAATACCCATGTGCCTATATAGATACACAAAATCTTTTGTATAACTGTGTGCCTAGCAGACATTCCTTGTTTTAATGACCAAGTTATGTCCCTGTGACTAGGTCACTAAATCGATTACTAATGAGGAACTATAATATTCAGAACAAACAAATGGTCAAAAAAGCCCAATTTGATGACTCTTATTTGCATAACTCTTACATGCAATACTGTATTGCATAACAAAACATAAAACTATAGTACTGTACAATAATCATCAAAAATCATGGTACTGTATAAACAAGGTGTACCATGCAAAAAAAAAAAAAAAAAAAAAGACAGTGAGGTTCTATAAACAAGATGTACAGAACTATGCCCCCAAAAAGATGAGTTTTAGGGCCAAATAGTGCACCTCAATTATAAGTCCAAACAGTAAACAGGTAGACCATCAAGCAAAGATCTATCTGTATGCATCTTGTATATTTCTGTGGATTAGTTAAAAACAGATCTATAGGTCAAGGGGATGGATAATTTTTGATAGTTACTACCAAACTTATTATTTATTATACTCTTACTAACACAGAAGATGTTTTCCATTTTGTCAATCTCCCGGATTTTAAATGAAAATATTAAGTCAAGCTTCAGCATTAATAAGGACAAGCATCTTTTTGTATGTGCCATTGCTATTACTTTTCTGAAATGTTTATATTCTTTGTCATTTTTGCCTATTGTTTTTGTTGTTTTCCCAAAATAGTCTTATACATTTTGTTTGTTACACACAGGAAATATTTCCTCCTATCTTGTTTGACTTTTGATTTTGTTCATGGTGCCTTCACCTTAAGCTTTAAATATGTAGTTAAATCTGTCAATTTCTTTATGGTTTCTGAATTTCAGGCATGCTTTTCAGAGCTACCCCAGGTCTTTCAAAACAGCATTCTTCTAATTTGTTTTTATTTTTTACATTTAGAGATTTACTCTACCTGGAATTGATTTTTGTTTATAATATGAAATAGGCATTCAATAACTTCTGTTTCCCCAAAACAGACAATTTTCCAAATGCCACTTTTAAAAGAATCTATTCCTTCCCTAATTGCTTGAAATGCCAGACTTTTTTGTTCAAAACTGCCTACAAACACATTTCAGTATTCCCTATTGTATTCTACAGTCCTAGCTGGCCATTTCTATTCCAAAACCATCACCTTAATTACTCTATCTCTAAAACATGCTTTTCATTTATTCTGTATAACTTTTAGATTTCCTTCAAATGCCACTAATGTTTTAATTGGAAGAATATAACTTGGGGAAACTGGTATCTACAAACTGACTCACCTCATCTAAGAACATAATGATTCAAATTGTCTTTTATGAATTTAGTTTTTTTCTTACAGGTTTCTCATATCTCTTTAATATTTGTTAATAGGTACTTTATAGTTCAGATTACTGAATTTTTTTTAAAAGAATCACAAAGTCAGTTAATATGGTTAAAAAAATACATGCAGGAATCTTTTATCCTACTCATATAAATCCAATAAAATACTGAATAACTATTTTATTTTATTTATTTTTTGCAGAACCGGGGATTGAACTGAATAAGTATTTTAAAATAATATTTAATACACAGCTGAGCTTGAAAAGAAATTTTAAAGTACCAAAATAAAAAGATAAAGCTGCACTCCAAGATAATACAACAGAGGTACTGGACATAAATATAGGCTTCAGTGAGAGTTACGGGAATGCCCAAAAGACTTGGGAGTAGATGCTTTGGCCCTGTACACTTAGCCATAAGCCAGAACTAGAAGCTTTAAATTGGGTAACTGCTTCTATAGAACTGGACTGGAGTAGTCCCACCTGCTTTGACGGACCTTAATAGGAAGGGCAGAACTGTGTCTTCACCAGGGGAGAGTCTCTGAAAGCTTAATAAAATATGGCTATGAGAAGTATCTCCAGGTTAGAATCCTAATCACATGCTTCAATTTTAGGTAACATTAACTCCTTGACAAGCACAGAATCAACATATTCATACTTTTTCCTATGCGATTTGGGACTTTTGTCAGTTATTTTAGTTTTTTCCCTGCTTGTGAAACTATGCACAGATTTCAATTACTTTAGCTTAAATACTCAGCAACATAATTCAAATGTCAGTCATCCTGGTATACTGACTATGAGATATATGTGATGCTTATTCTTCAGCTCATGAATCACTAAACAACCAGTGCTCATCATGATCAGTAATAATCATATCACTTCTTTTAAGTTCTGTCAGTGAGGGATCAGTGCATCCATGAATATATTCATGCGTACATGAATATAGCCATACACATGTTCTTCAGTTCACACAGACAGCAAGTGTGTCATGTGCCTTCTTGTCACTCAAAATCATCCTACATGACATTTTATAAAAATGGATAGCAAAAAGGGAATTAGTCAACAAAGATGAAAGTTCAACAACATCATCTAATATAAGATTTTTTTTGTTGGTTTTTTTGGACCAGGGATTGAACTCAAGACCTTGTGCTTGCCAGGTAGGTGCTTCAGCCACTGAGCTATCTCCCTGGCCCTAACAACAAAAATAAATAAATAAATAAATAAATGAGAATGTTGCACATGAAACTCAAATTTAACATTGTATTAATCAGCTTTCCTGTTGTGGCTCTAACACCCAAAATCCACACTTGAAAGGAAAAGAGGTTTGATTTGGCTGTGTTTTAGGAGAATTAAATTCACACTAAGCTGCTCTCAGGTAGGAACAGAATGGTGAAACGGCATGGTGGAGCACAGCTGTTTAGTATGTGGAACAGGAAGCCAAGAAAAAGGAATTACTCTAACCAGGAAGGGTGAGATTACCTATAGTAAATAACCAAAGAGACCTATAAGCTTATTTATTTATTTAAGTTTTTGGAGACTGGGTCTCA